TGTGCACATCTCGCATCTTGTCTATTGTTTCACCCATGGACACTTGCTCTCTATCTTAGTCTTGTGAACAGTTCTACTCTGAACACGTGTATGAATATCCCTTTGATAACTTACTTTCAGTTTTTTTTTTTTTTTAAATACATACCCAGGGCTCGGAGAGATGGATTAGTAGTTACGAGCACTGGCTGTTCTTCCAGAGGACCCAGGTTCGATTCCCAGCACCCACATTATGGATCCCAACCATCTGTAACTCCAGCTCCAAAGGATCCGACACCCTTTTTGACCTCTGAGGGCAGTAAGCAGGCATGTGGCAATAGACATAAATGCAGACAAAACACCCATATGCATAAAATAAAAAAAATATATATATACATACATATATATGTATATATATATATTTTTTTTCAGAAGTGGAATTGCTATGTGTGGGAATTCTATTTTCAAAAATATTTATTATTATTATTATTATTTTAATTTTTCCAAGACAGGGTTTCTCTGTATAGCCTTTGCTGTATTGGAACTTGCCCTGTAGACCAGGCTGGCCTTGAACTCACAGAGATCCACCTGCCTCTGCCTCCTGAGGGCTGGGATTAAAGGTGCGCGCCACCATCACCTGGCTTTAGGATAATTATGATGATGGTGATGATGATGAAGAGCCAGGGAGTATGTTATTTAAAGGTTAGATGAGGGATGGGGACAGAGCTCAGTTAGTAGACCTGCCTAGCATGTGTAGGATCCTGAGTTCAGTTCCTTGTATCACACACACAAATATGACCAGATGATGAACTCTGACGAGCAGAGCAGAGAAGACTGGCTTTGTAGGCAGAGACTGGCAAGCTCAGTTGAAGGGCTGAAGGAAGAGACATGTTGCAAGAGACAGGAACAAGGAATAAGAATTGGATTGATCGCTTCCTTGTTGGGTTAAAACAGAATGGCCTTGCTCATTCTACCACCTGTGTAAAGAGCCTGTGACTCATTGGTATGAACTTCAAGGTTCACTGATTGTTTGGCACCTCATGGGAGACTGCATTCTGGTTTAATTGGTCTGTTGAACCTAATGTTCGACTCAGGCCATATCAAAGGCTTTCTGTAAATTTTATCTAAATACCTTTTTGGTTTTAGTTTTATGGGTTGATTGCTGAAAACCTTTGCTCACCTTTTTTTACAGAAATATTCTTTGGGAGACTTGCAAGAGCATTTCATGAATTGATCTGTTCAGCTTTTTCACATATGTTATAATTAGACTTGTCTATTTTAAATTCTTTTTTTTTTTTTTTTTTTTTTTCTCGAGACAGGGTTTCTCTGTGTAGCTTTGGAGCCTATCCTGGCACTCGCTCTGGAGACCAGGCTGGCCTCGAACTCACAGAGATCTGCCTGCCTCTGCCTCCCGAGTGCTGGGATTAAAGGCTGCGCCACCAACACCCAGCCTATTTTACATTCTTGTATATTTATTTTTATTTGTGTGTAGGTGTGTGTGCCTGGTTGTCTGTGTGTGTGTCAGTATCTGCAGAAGCCAGAAGCGTGATTCTGATCTCTGGAATTGTAGTTACAGGTGGCTGAGCTACTTGGAATGGGTGCTGGGAACTGAACCTGTGTATTCTACAAGACCAGCAAATACTTTCCAGCTCTATTGTACCCCCCCACCCCCCGACAAACCGCAGATTTAAATTCTCATGTGCTTATATCAATTACTGGTTTCCCAATTTTTCTATTGACTTTGTAATTTTGTAGGTTGTCGTACACTACTAACTTTGGTACCAGGACTGGTTGTCTGTGTGTTGCCGCATTGCTTAGGGACCCTCTATGCTGGAGGCATTTCCTAGCCCAGTGACCACAGTGTCAACTCCCCAGGATGACCAGCATTCCCCTGCTGGGCAGTGAACTGGTGGGTCCAGAGTAGACACAACCGGTTTTCCTTCCTGTGTTCTCCCTGGAGGAAATGCTTCTCAGGAACTGGGTGTTAGGTTAAGGAGGTTTCATCTTGAGAGAGAAGTGATAAGTTTCTGAGAACTGTAAACCAGCACAACTCTCAGATGTCTTGGAAACACTCACCTTTCTTCAGTTTCTTAGATACTCCTGAGACTGACCCAGGATGCTTAGCTAACCCCTCACATGGGTCCTGCCCCATAGGGACCTTCCTGCCCCATGTTCTTTTCCCCCTGGATACTAAGATTCATGTATGTAACTTTTTTTTTTTTAAATAAAATATCGGTGTTGGCCAGTTTTCTACCATTGCTAATAACCATATATGCAGGTGAGGTTTGTTTTGGTCCATGCTTTCAGAGGTGTCAGTCTGGGGTTGGTTAGCCTGTTTCTTTTAGGGCATGTGACAGTAAGTCATAGCTGGAAGTGTATGAGGAGGAGGGACTGGGGTCCCAGTGACTTAAGGGAAGAATCCCCCAATGACTATTCCCTTGAACTAATCCTGTCTTCCAAAGATCCACCACTTCCAGAGAGCACGTAGACTTGGAGCTGGGCCTTGAATACATGGGTCTTTGGCAGGTAGTTAAGGTCTAGACTATAGCAATGACCTTTCTGCAGGCAGAATTATGAGAAGTATGATTGATGCCTCCCCTAGGTACAAGTGTCTCATGGGAGTCTCTTCAGTATTAATAAGGCGATGTCATTGATGACTAAGGTGGTGCACTGGAGGAGGCAGTGTCAAGGCAAGATGGTAAGGTGTAGAGGGAAATACCAGAAAGGAGTATTTGTGTCCTTCTGTCCCCAGACTCAGGCGTCCAGCTCCTGGGACCCGGCCCCACATCCACAAGGGAGATTCAGTCAAGGATTATTGGATGGTTCTTATTCATGTTCTCCCTCCGTCCCTTCCTACCTCCCCCTTCCTCTACCTCTTCCTCCCTGCTCCCCTCCTCAGGGGACTACCTGTCTCTGCCTCCTCAGAGCTGGGATTGCAAATGCATGTCATCATATCTGGGTGCTAGGATCACACTGAGGACTTCATGCTTGTATAGTCCTTTACTGACTGAGCCATCTCCCTTACCTTTCTTAAAGCAGCCAATAAAAGAGAAAAAACAAAAACATGTTTCTTTAACAATAAACCCACTAGCTGGGCGTTGGTGGCACATGCCTTTAATCCCAGCACTCGGGAGGAAGAGGCAGGCAGATCTCTGTGAGTTCGAGGCCAGCCTGGTCTCCAGAGCGAGTGCCAGGATAGGCTCCAAAGCTACACAGAGAAACCCTGTCTCGAAAAACTAAAACAAACCAAACCAAAACAATAAAACCCACTAACTTCTCCCTGTGTCTTAGGCCCTTTCCACTCTAGAGTTAGGTACGAATCCACCCATACTTAATGCTTGGGTAAGGAAAGCTCACACTGGGGGAAGTCCTCACCTCTGACCCATTTATCTGTATTATATCACCATGGAGCCAGTGTTAGGTACTGGAGTTGGGAAACAGATGGGTTGGAATTGAAGCCGTACTTTCGCTCATTCCTTCACTTAATCGACCTTGGGAAATCCTCAGCTATGTACATTGAGCATGCTCAGGTCTCCCTCACAGTTCTGCTCTGTTATATATCATAAAATATATAAGATAGATAAAAGATTTGTTTGTTTGAGATTTAGTTTCTCATAGACAATGTACAGTCGATCTCCAGAATTCTTTTTTTTTATGTGTGAGCATTTTTTTTAAAAAAGACTTTATTTATTTGCTATGTATACAACATTCTGCTTCCATGTATATCTGCACACCAGAAGAGGGCACCAGATCTCATAACAGATGGTTGTGAGCCACATGTGGTTGCTGGGAATTTAACTCAGGGCCTCTGGAAGAACAGTCAGTGCTCTTAACCTCTGAGCCATCTCTCCAGCCCACCTCCAGAATTCTTTAACTTGTGAACTGAAACTGCCCTTGAACCATACCGATCCCCCACCTGCCACCTCCTGGAAACCACCATTTGTTTCTGTCTGTGATGACTGTAGGCATTTCCTGCATATTTGTGTTTTTGTGATGGTCCCTTTTTCCCTTGACATAGTGGCCTCCATGTTCATCTGTGGTGTATGTCCTTCCATTCTTGTCCCAGGGTTCCGTGCCCTGTCCTGTTCATGTCGTCCCCATACTGTAATTGTATAATTATCTCACAAGCCGAGCCTGCTTTGTGTTCTGAGTATGTCTAGGTCAGCACATGGCATACAGTGGGGACTTGGTCTGCTCTTGTTGAGCCAGTGCTTGGACTCCCCTCATGCCCAGTTTTACTTCACTCCACACAGGTCTCTTCTGTACACGTGTCCTATATTACCACACACTGGGTCCTTCAAACCACAGGAATGTATCCTTACACAATTCTGGACACTGGAAGTCAGGAGCTGAGCATGCTCCTCCCCCTAGAAGCTTAGGAAAGGATCCTCCTTGACCCCTCCCTGGGGGCCTCACTCAGTAGCTCAGGTTGGCCTCGAACTCATGGCCATCCTAGTGCTTCAGCTTCCTAAGTACTGGGACTACAGGCATGAGCCACCACATCTGGCCCTCTTCTTTGTCTTAGGAGGATCCTTGTCTCTGGGTATGGTGGTGGGCACTTTTAAACCCAGCACTTGGATAGTAGACATGGGAGGACCTGAGATACATAGTGAATTTGAAGCCTGCCTAGGATATATGAGACCCTGTCCCTCAACTCAAAAAGGAGTCTTGTCATTAGATTTAGGACCCACTTAAGTAAGCAAGAATGACTGTATCGGCATTTTTTTTTTTTTTTTGTATCTGCATTTTTTACTGTATTTCCAATAAAGCCATATCCACAGGTCCTGGCAGTTGGCGTAGGTCAATCTTTTTGGCAGCCACAATTCAACTCTACCCTCTGAGGATTCTGTGTCTCCTAACCAAACATCACATTTTAATCATTTGTTTTCACAGAGCTGGAGGGAGGGGAATGGGAAGTTGTGAATCAAAGTTTCAGTTCCCCAGGTTGAAGAGTGTGGGGGACTCAAGGGGACTCTATGGTGGAAGTTTGATGTCACTAGTATTGACGATACCTTGTTTTTCAGGTTGATCGTGTCCTGAGCTGAAGATGTTCCCTGAACAACAGAAAGAGGTGAGACACTACCTGTTCATTTATGGAAAGTCAGGGCTGAAAACCTGAAAATACATAACCCATGAATTTTGGCTCATCACAGATTGGTCCAAGTAGTAACTAGAAACTGGTGACATCTCAAAAGTGGCTGAAGGAAGACAGACATTGCCTGTTCCCACTATAGACCTAACCATGGCATTCCCTGTCTTGTCTGTGACTGGCTGTAGTGCACTCTGCCAGCCACTCATCTGTCGAAACACTGCCTCCCAAACCCAGAATTCTCCTGGGCTCTGCCTCTCACTCTTTGCCTGAGCATCTCTTCATCTGCTTGCTTGGTTTTCTGCTTTGCTAACTCATCCCTGGGTACTCCCAGCTTTGAGTAGGCACCCAGGAAAGTGTCTGCCATTAGTTTCAGACTGACCTGTTCTTTGTCTTTTACAACTCTGTTGTTTTGTTTTTGTTTGTTTCCCACACGACTCAAGCAAGACTATCTTTTCTTGACTGCATCCTGGACTTAATGCCTACAAAGACCAATTTCCTGGGCTTCCATCTGGGGCAGAGCTATTTCAGCTGTCCTTCTCTATTTATTTATTTACTTGTTTGTTTGTTTGTTTGAGCCCTGGCTCTCATAGAATTTGCTATGTAAACCAGGCTGACCTCAAACTCACAAAGATTCCCCCTGCCTCTGCCTTCTAAATACTGGAAGTAAAGGTGTGTACTATGATGGCGTGTGGTGTGTGTGTGTGTGTGTGTGTGTGTGTGTGTGTGTGTGCAGTTATGAGTGTACATGTGGATACAGAGGCCAGGGGTCAGTCTCAGGTGTTATCCTCATGTACCTTCTACCTAGTTTTATGAGACAAGGCTCTCACTTGGGCCTGGAACATGCCAATTAGGATAGACTGACTGGCTGATGAGCCACAAGGATTCCTTGTCTCTTCCCCCAGTGCTGAAATTACAGGTTTGTGTCACCATATCCTTGTGTCACCAAGCGCTAATCAAGGGATCAAACGCATGTCCTTCCTTATTCTTGCACAATAGACACTTTGCCAATTCAGCCATTTCCCCTAATTCAATTTGTTCAACTTTGTTCCTTTTATGTAGTCCAGGACCCAAGCTTAGGGAATGGTGATATCCATGTTTAGGGTGAGAATTCCTATCCCAATTAACCTAGTCAAGATAATCCCTCATAGGCATATCTGGTAAATCCAGATTCTGCAAAGTTAATCAATATTATCCACCACACCAACTATATCCCAGAACTTGGGAGGCAAAGGCAGGCAGAGCTCTGTGAGTTGGAGGCCAGCCTGATCTATAAAGTGAGTTTACTCCAAAGTTACATAGAAACCCTTTCTCGAAAACAAACAAACAGGGCTGGGCATTGGTGGTGCACGCCTTTAATCCCAGCACTTGGGAGGCAGAGGCAGGAAGATCTCTGTGAGTTCAAGGCCAGCCTGGTCTTCAGAGTGAATGCCAGGATAGGCTCCAAAGCTACACAGAGAAACACTGTCTCTAAAAACCAAAAAAAAAAGAAAGAAAGCAAACAAACAAACAAATAAATAAATGCATCAGTGATCTTGAAAATGTCCTCTCTGATAAGTGACCATATATAACAATATTATATCATTAATGAATTTGAAAAAGGCAATTCCTTCACTGGAAAAGGGAAAAGACATACTGCAAATGGATGGAGATACAGTTTTTAAAAAGTCTAGTTTAGTTTTGTCAGTAAGAAATAATTATAGAGAAGTGAGATCCAGGGTGTACTGTGGTCTAACATCTGGCTGCTCAATAGCTGTCTGTCCATTCTCCAGTGGACCCAGACTGCTGAGCTGTTGGCCTTTAGAGCCAGCCAGAGCCCCTGCATGTGGCTTTTAGGTACCTGCAGGCCCAAAGTCTTTCTCCAGACCTCCTTCTTACTCCGGGGCACTTCTTGCTCCCTGTTTGCAGGCTTATTTTGGAGCGTCATCAGTTCTGTGCCATCTTGTCTCCTGGGCTGTTTCTAGTATTGCCCTCCTGTTTTTCTTGCTTTCATACATTGCTGAATCGGGCTGCTGCTGTCTTCTCTTCCTTCAGGCCTCAGTTGGGGATCAAAAAGAGACTTCCGGCAGCCTCATTTTAAAAAGGGATCTTCACGTCCTTGATTGCCCCAATAATACTCTACACTCAAGGCCAGCTAGAGGCACCAAGTCTGTAGCGCCTAGCTACTGGTTATCTTTTAGTCATTCACAATCCCCCCAGTCACACATGTAAGGGTCCGATGCAGTAGCACTGATTGTTCTGGAAGCTAGACCAGTATTTGTATACGCACTTTCCAGGTGGTGCCTATAGATAGCAGCCATTACTAATTAATCATCAGATTGGCATGTGGATTAAGACCTACTTGCCATCTTTGTTCAGGATGCAGATGGCCAGGCGTGACATGCCAGCTCTCGAGAGCTAGTGGTGCCAGCCTCAGGTTTGGTCATTTTTTTTTTTTTTTAAGATTTGGGAAATGTCTCTCTTGTTGAAGCAGCTTTATTACCATAATAAATCTAGCAAGAGGAGAGAAGGGATCGAAAGTCTCCCTTGTTAGTTAAATATGTTCCATTTGTACATTGGCTTGAATTCCCAGGAGAGCAGTACCTCAGCTGATTGATTGTCCCTATAAAAAGGCCTTGGCATTGGGCCATTGTAAAATTAAAATGAATTCAGACTCATTCATGCATGCAACTTTAATTTACAATTAAAATATTATGGTTACATATTTTAATAAGAATAATTAGACGGACCCAACTGAATCAACCCTTGTGTTTAATGAGACAGAACCCAGAATTCAAATGAAAAGGCAGGTGGGTGTGACAGGGGACACATTTCAGGCAGCATCTTTTGTGGAGTCAGGCATTTTTGCCCTTCTTATATTCTGATGCCTGGGAAGAGCAGTTTGATTTCTCTGTAGCACTGAGGACCCAGTCCCTGCCTTAGAAAGCTTGCTTTCTGAAGGGGTGAAGAAGCTGCACCTCCTTACAGACACAGACTGTTTTGTGGAGACTCATATCCTGGCCTTGACCCTCAGGCTGCTGCTCCCCTACGAAGGTGCTGGGCTTCTTCCTCAGCTGCTGGTGTGACTGCCACAGCCCTCTTAGGGGCGAGACTTGTCTTTGTGCCTGTGTCTATGTATACACCTGGGCATCTCCCTACTTCCTGGATCATGGTAGCTGCTTTCTCCCTTTAGGACAGCAGTTCCCAACCTGTGGGTGGTGGGTCGAGACCCCATTGGGGTCGAATATCAGATACCCTGCATATCAGATATTTACATTATGACTCAAAACTGTTGGACGCCTTTATCATTTATTACAGAAGTAGCAATTAATATTCTAGGTGCCAACTCTAGAATATTTGTTACTGTGAATTTGGCTGTATATAGGATATATACTGGGGGCTTTGTATTCTCAAATAGGCCCCAGAGAAAGGAATTCCTTCTCACTGGGGTTGTCAGTGGCAAGATCGCAGCCTACGGATCTTACACTACATCGCCGTAGTTTTCCCCTTTGATATAGCACTGAGAAGTCCCCTTTAGTCAGTTAACAAGTCACATCCACTCCTGAGATTTAAGTTTGCAAATCACATCCAGGGGAGAAACATGAGGCACCTGCTTTTCTCAAGGTGCTACCCGCCTTCCTGGCACTGAGAGATATGCATGCCCTATTGTCAGAGAGTTGTTAAGTGGGTATAAAAACTAGAAGCCTTGTGGGATAAAGAGACCTCAGGAGAACTTTTGGAGACTTTTTAGAAAGAACTTTAGAGAATTTTTAAGAACTTTTAGAGAGAAATCATGTATACAGGGCATGCCAGAAGAGGGCACCAGATCCCATTATAGATAGTCATGAGCCACCTTGTGGTTGCTGGGAATTGAACTCAGGACCTCTGGAAGAACAGTCAGTGCTCTCAACCTCTGAGCCATCTCTCAACCCCCCTAGCTTGGTATTCTATTTTTGCTTGTGTTTTTGTAGTGCCAGGACTGGAGAACATGTAGCACTCTACCACTGAGCTGCACCCTGTAGCCTGAAAACAAGAGGGTGTAGCTTTTGATATTGGACTGCTGGTTGGAAACTGACTAAGATTTAAATTAATGAGTATCTCTGAAAAGATAGAGAATAGCATTGGGATCCTGATACCTTCAACACTCCCTTAAACTTAAGTTCTACTCTTTTCTGTCTTCCTTTCATATTCCCTCCCCATTTCTTCTTCTCAGCCACTGGCATTCTACCCAGCCATTGAGGTTTTCCTACTGAAGAATAGATGGCACAGTGGTTCAGAGCACCCGAGAAGACCTGGGTTCAATTCCCAGCACCCACATGGCGGCTCACAACTCTCTGTAACTCCAGTTGGAGGGGATCTGATGCCCTCTTCTGGTCTCCTTCCGCACCAAGCATGCATGTAGTACATAGACATACATTCTGCCAAAACACCCTTGTGCATAAAAATAAATAAATAAAATGTAGAAATATAACAGTACCTTTCAGTAAGAAAAGCAGCCTGGAATATTAATCCTTCCCCACACTGCAGGTTCCCATGGTTGTTGCTATTCTGAGATCATTTGTGTGGCAATCCCTTGAGGATCTGTTTCATTCTGTCCACGTCCCAAAGAAAGATTTTATTTCCGTCTCCAGATTTTAAAAGATTTGTTCACTGTAGAATATAACTTCTAAGGAAAAGGTAGAAGCTTGGGCTATTTCTTTCCAGCCCCTTCCTGTACTTGTGTGTATGCACTTTTAGCAAATGGAGACCATATAGACTTTATAGTTTAACATCTCTCTCTTCCAGGTCAACATTCTAATACATTTTAAGAACTACTTTGCCGGCTGCAATTAAATTAGAAGTGACTGGAAAAAAAAATAAAACAGCATAAATTTATCTTCACGGTTATTAACAGATAAGAAGCAATACAATGGGAAGCCTTGTCAATATCTGCCTCAGCCAGGTGATCAAAGTAAACAGCAATGAAGAAATCCCAGTGAACACAGGTGCCTTAGATTTGATGG